AATCTGGAAATATGTACACGGAAGCGTTCAGCACAAGACCCCGGGATGTGTGTGGCTCTTATGTCCGGGACTTGGGTCCCCAAGTGGGCAATCTGGGAGGGTGATCTTTTCGAATAGCCCCCCTTCCCGGATCCAGCTGCGCATCTGCTAGCCCTCCAGCCCAGGTGCGCGGGAGGGAGGTCGTGGCTGTGCCGCGCAAAGCTCCGCGTTGCCGCGAGGTGGCGCCATAGTTGCAGCAGAGCCTGCTGGCCCGGGCCGCTCCAGATAAGAGTGTGCGGAAAGCGCGGCGGGGCTGAGACGCGACCAGGACGCGGGGAGGACGGACCAGCAGGACAGACCGACCGGGGGCCCGGCGGGCGGAGGGCAGCGCAGCGCAGCCACGTCCCCCCTGGATCCGCCGGCAGCCGGGCCCGGGGCTTCCGACATGCCCCCCAGGTGGGTCCTCGGGTTGGGGACCGGGAGGGACAGGGGACCAGGACAGCCCGGTCCTCGCGCTCTAGCCGCCTCGGGTGCATCCTCCGGTGCGAGCGTCCCAACGCGGCTGGCGTTCAGAACTTCGGGTGTCTCCCTTAGAGGGTTTAAGACCACCGGATCGCTGATCTGCTCCGGGTTCACGGCGGGGTCAGCAGCCGGGGCCGGCTCTGCCCGCACATGGGCTGGAGAGGCGAGGAAGGGGAGAGCTGGCGGGTGGGGCTGGCAGGGGCGCTGCCCTGGCACAGCTCGGCTCCTGGCAGCAGGGCGGGTGGGGCGCCGGCTAGGAGCTGCCACCGCCGCGGGGAGGGAAGTCTGGCGCGGTTGCAGGCGCAGGTAACGGGCCGTGAGGCCCTGCGGACCAGGCGGGGAACAGTGTCGGGCCGGCGAGCTGGCGGGCAGGGCAGCCCAGGGCTCGGTTCAGGCCCTGCCGCTGCCCGGCTGCTGAAATGGGGGGCGAGAGGAAAAGCTTGGAGTTGAGGGACTGGGGCTGGCGCGCCCCTCCCGGTCTGGCTGAAGTTGGGAAACTTTTTCCTAAGTTTGGGCGGCGGAGTTCCAGTGGAGAAGGGGCCGAGGGGAGCTGGGGAGGGAGGCGCCGGGCCGTGAACGCAGACCTAAGGCCGAGGCCGGGCCGGGACTCGGGTGGGGCGCAGGCCGGGGTCAGGGCCGCAGCCGGCTGTGCGCCGTGCCCGCCCGGGGCGCTGCCCCCTCCCTCCCCTGGGAGCTGCGTGGCTCCCCCTCCCCCCCACCTGCTTCCTGCCTCAGCCTCCTGCCCTGATATAACGCCCTCCCCGCGCCGGGACCCGGCCTTCATACTCTGCCCGCCACGGCAGCGGCTGCCTCCGCTCGCCGTGCGGTGCCGCAGCCGCCGACCGGGCCCCAACTAGGGCCTGACAGCCCCGGGCCAGGGCGGCACCACGGCGGCCCCAGCGCTCCCCTCCTCCGGATCACTTCCCCCAGCTGGGGCAACTTCTCCCGAGGCGGGAGGCGCTTTTCACTCGGCTCCCTCAGATCCCAGTTGGGCAAACTCCTCGGTCCTGAATGACTTTTCCTGAAGCGGACATTTTCCTCAAATCGGGTAATTGTCTCTGAAAGGGTCACTTCATCCAAACAGTTTTCCTCTTCGAAGCCCCCAGGACCCAGCTTGTGTACCCGGTGCCTCCGGGCAAGGGGTGCAGGCCAGCCTGGCCTCCTCTCCACCAGCCACTCTTCTGCTCCTTCTGGTCCGGTCCAGGCGCCCACACTCGGAGGCTACTCATCCTCCACCAGTGCCCAGGCTGGTGCTCGATGCCTCTGCCCAGTTGAAGGGAAGGGGAAGTGGAGGGGAGAGGCGCTGGGCTGGGAACAGGCAGCGAGGGCTCCTGCGGCCCTGACCCGACTGGTGTGTATCCCCGCAGGAGATTGTGCTGGGCAGACGATGCTGGACACGATGGAGGCGCCCGGCCACTCGAGGCAGCTGCTGCTGCAGCTCAACAACCAGCGCACCAAGGGCTTCTTGTGCGACGTGATCATCGTGGTGCAGAACGCCCTCTTCCGCGCGCACAAGAACGTGCTGGCGGCCAGCAGCGCCTACCTCAAGTCCCTGGTGGTGCATGACAACCTGCTCAACCTGGACCATGACATGGTGAGCCCGGCCGTGTTCCGCCTGGTGCTGGACTTCATCTACACCGGCCGCCTGGCTGATGGCGCAGAGGCTGCAGCGTCGGCAGCAGTGGCTCCGGGGACCGAGCCGAGCCTGGGCGCTGTACTGGCCGCTGCCAGCTACCTGCAGATCCCCGACCTCGTGGCGCTGTGCAAGAAGCGCCTCAAACGCCACGGCAAGTACTGCCACCTGCGGGGCGGCGGCGGTGGTGGCGGCGGCTATGCACCGTACGGGCGGCCGGGCCGGGGCCTGCGGTCTGCCACGCCCGTCATCCAGGCTTGCTACTCGTCCCCAGCCGGGCCTCCGCCGCCGCCCAGCGCCGAGCCGCCGTCGGGCCCCGAGGCCGCAGTGAACACGCACTGCGCTGAGTTGTACGCCTCGGGCCCCGGCCCGGCCGCCGCACTTTGCGCTCCGGAGCGCCGCTGCTCTCCGCTCTGCGGCCTGGACCTGTCCAAGAAAAGCCCGCCGAGCTCCGTGCCTCCCGAGAGGCCTCCGGGCGAGCGCGAGCTGCCTCCGCGCCCAGACAGCCCTCCCAGCGCCGGCCCCGCAGCCTACAAGGAGCCGCCGCTCATCCTGCCGCCGCTGCCGCCACTGCCCTTCCAGAAGCTGGAGGAGGTCATACAGCCTCCGGACCCGTTCCGTGTCGGCAGCGCCAGTCCGGGACCCGAGCCCCCCGGCCGCCCTGACGGGCCCAGCCTCCTCTACCGCTGGATGAAGCACGAGCCAGGCCTGGGTAGCTACGGCGATGAGCTGGGCCGGGATCGCGGCTCCCCGGGCGAGCGATGCGAGGAGCGCGGCGGGGACCCGGCCACCTCGCCCGGGGGGCCTCCGCTTGGTCTGGCGCCGCCGCCGCGCTACCCGGGCAGCCTGGACGGGCCCGGCGCAGGTGGCGACGGCGACGACTACAAAAGCAGCAGCGAGGAGACTGGCAGCAGCGAGGACCCCAGCCCACCCGGCGGCCACCTCGAGGGCTACCCATGTCCCCACCTGGCTTATGGCGAGCCTGAGAGCTTCGGCGACAACCTGTACGTGTGCATCCCGTGCGGCAAGGGCTTTCCCAGCTCTGAGCAGCTGAATGCGCATGTGGAGGCGCACGTGGAGGAGGAGGAGGCACTATATGGCAGGGCCGAGGCGGCTGAGGTAGCGGCGGGAGCCGCCGGCCTCGGGCCCCCTTTTGGAGGGGGTGGGGACAAGGTCGGTGGTGCTCCCGGCGGACTGGGCGAACTGCTGCGGCCATACCGCTGCGCGTCGTGCGACAAAAGCTACAAGGACCCGGCCACACTGCGGCAGCACGAGAAGACGCACTGGCTTACCCGGCCCTATCCATGCACCATCTGCGGGAAGAAGTTCACGCAGCGCGGGACCATGACGCGCCACATGCGCAGCCACCTGGGCCTCAAACCCTTTGCGTGCGACGCGTGCGGCATGCGCTTCACGCGCCAATACCGCCTCACCGAGCACATGCGCATACACTCGGGCGAGAAGCCCTACGAGTGCCAGGTGTGCGGCGGCAAGTTCGCCCAGCAACGCAACCTCATCAGCCACATGAAGATGCACGCCGTGGGTGGCGCAGCTGGCGCAGCTGGGGCGCTGGCGGGGCTCGGGGGGCTGCCCGGCGTCCCTGGCCCGGATGGCAAAGGCAAACTCGACTTCCCCGAGGGCGTCTTTGCTGTGGCCCGCCTCACAGCTGAACAGCTAAGCCTGAAGCAGCAGGACAAGGCGGCCGCGGCCGAGCTGCTGGCGCAGACCACGCACTTCCTGCACGACCCCAAGGTGGCGCTCGAGAGCCTCTACCCGCTGGCTAAGTTCACCGCGGAGCTGGGCCTCAGCCCGGACAAGGCGGCCGAGGTGCTGAGCCAGGGAGCACACCTGGCTGCGGGGCCCGACGGCCGGACCATCGACCGTTTCTCCCCCACCTAGGGCGCCCCTTGCCGGCCCGCCTGGTCGCTGCCGCGTGGCCCCGGCCCGCGCTCCCAGGGAGCGGCGCGGCGGCAGCGAGCAGGCAAACCTCGCCGGGACAACCATAGTAGCAGCGGCAGCGTCACCGCAGTGGCGGCGGCCCCACCTCCGCGGCCTCACCTGGCCTCACTGCTTTGTGCCTTAGCCCGGGGATGGGGGTGGGTTGGGGGAAGGGAGATTTATATTTTTGATATCAGCTTTGACCAAAGGAGACCCCCGGCCCTTCTCCGCCTCTTCCTGTGGTTCGTTGGCCCCCTCCCCCGGCTCCGTGCTGCTCTTGGGGGTAGGGGTGTCACTGTTGGGGCGCTCCCGGCCCTACCTCCGGCCCTTGCGACCACACCCATTCTCACTGTGAATCTCCCCGTTGGGGTCGGAGCGTCGGGCAGGGTTAGGGAGCTGGGAGGGGACTGAGCCGGCCGGAGGGCCCCCTGCCCCCCGCTCCCGCCCGCCCCGGGACTGATAATGTGAAGTTCCTCATTTTGCACAAGCGGCACTATCCCCAGGGCCAATCCTCCCCTCCCTCTGAAGTCAGAGGGCTGAGACAGCCCGGTCTACCCGGTCTCCCACTCCTGCGGTGTCCTCTCCCCCTTCCCCGAGGCCCCGGACCATATTTATTGCATGCTCCCCGGGCAGCCCCATCCCCGAGCCCAGGCAGGGCTGGGCTGGAACGTGGTCTCTTTAGCTCCCTCCTCCTCTTTTGTATATTTTCTACCTTGTACACAGGCTCTTCCAGAGCCGCTTCCATTTTCTATACTCGAACCAGAAAGCAATAAAGCAGTAACCAAGGACCCTGGACCCTGCAGCTCTCTTCTGCCTTGCACTAGGACCTGGTGCCAGCACCAAGGGGGGTGGAGGGACCAGACACAGGGGCAGAGCCTCGAACCTTCCTCCCTCCCCAGTCCCAGAGACAGATCAGCAAGAGGTCAGGTATATCTCATAACTAAAAATTTATTAAGGAAACAAAACCAGTGCTGCAAATAGGACAGAAAGGAGAGCTGGGTCTCCCACCCACCCAGTCATTAGCCTTCATCCAGGGCAGAGGATCTCAAAGGAGGCTGGGGACATTGTACCCAAAGAACCTGGTTTTCTGAGGCCCTGGGAAACTTATACCCCCAAACCATTGGCTGTGGCTCCCCTGTACAGTCCGTCCTCCTTCTGGCATACTCTCGGGCCTCGGGAGGGCACAGCCAAGCTCCCATCCTCTGGGCAGGCTACATATAGTTAGGGGTTCTAAGGGATACCCCCACTGGTCCCATCAAAACTTAATCCTGGCTTCTCGTCAAAACCCTGTCTTCCCCGCACCTCTGTTCCTGGGTTGAGAGAATGAATACCCAGTGCAGTAGGAAGCCTCCTGAGTGAGGCTTTGAACACAGGTGCTAACTAAAGAGGCAACAAAAAACTCAAAGGCCCTGTGTCAAGCTCTTCTAGGGAAAGCTAGAAATCGGGTGCAAACTCCAGGCTAGGCAATGCTCTCTTCCAGGCACGAGCCTGGAAGATTCTCGTAGCACAGGGGCCTGGGAAAGAAGGCTGGGGAAAGGGGAGCTTAATTAGGTTCCTGGTACAGGTACTGAAGGAAGAGGGAGATTCAGAGTGAGAACACCCATGGCAAGGAACTGAGGTGAGATTGAGGGGACCAGGAAGGTGAGAGGGATCAACTAGAAAGAGGAGGGGGGGTGGGCTGATGCAGGGGGGAGAGAAGGAGGACAAGAGAGAGGAGGGGAGAAATGAGAAAAATCAGGAAATTTTGTCCAGTGGGAACTAGAGCAAAAGGAAGGCCAAGGGGAGAGGAAGCAGGCAAAGGCCACCCAGGAAGCATGGGCCTGAGACCAGATGTCCCTTTCCTCTAGACTCCTGACCATCCACGGGGAAGAGGGCAAAGTGTAATGGACCCAGATTGATAAGGGCAGGAAGAGCAGCAGGATTGGGGGGGGGGGTGTTTGGGGCAGAAGAAGTGGGGATCTAGGGCTGCTGTATGGAACATGGTGTCCACAGCCCAACTTAGGTCCATGTGAGAACCCAGGCCTTGAGGGAAAGACACCCCCTGGGCACTCTCTTCATGGCGTGGCCAAGCCCCTTGGACACGTTCAGCACAGGGGTTCTGATGGAGATTAAAGGGACCCGTGACTTCACCTGCATCTGATGGAAATTCTAACCTCCTTAATCCATCTCCACTTGAGAAAGTGGCTGACTCCCGAGGCTGAGAAAGCCTTCCCCCAGCCCTTTAAGTAGGGGAGGGAGAAAGACTGAGAGCATGGGCAGCCTATCTAGCTCGCCCACCCGCTGTCACTGCAGCCAGCCACCTCCCTACTCAATCTTGACAGCCCAGGAGGGTCCCAGCAGCTTCCGCCCAACCCTTGGGAGGGGCTCTGTGAGGAGCAGCTCCCCCACAGCACGGCCACGGTGTGGGTTGGAAGAGGATGGTTTATTGTCTGGGTGGTTTGGTGGCTCAGGCATGTGGGCATCTTCCGTGCTACACTGGGCACCTGGTGGCCTCTCAGGAGCGGTTCCATGGGGGGGGGGCCCCAGCGTGGCCCCCTCAGCCCACCTGGGCCCACGCGAGGAAGGCCGGGATGTCCCGCACAGGCACGTTCCTCGTCAGCGCCTTCACACGCAGGTTCCGGTCATCGGTCAGCAGCACCACCTCCCGCAGCAGCCGAATGGGCTCCTCTGTTGGCACAAGAGGGCAGAGAGCCTCTCTGAGGCAGGAGACGGACACTGCCAGCCTCTCCTCTCTCTGGAGGGGAACATGGTCCTGGGGGGAGGGGTGCATGAAGGCCAGGCATTTCTTGGCCCCTTCCACAAATCCTTTCCCTCAGGCAGATGATCAGCTGAGGACGCCCCTCCCCTGCTGGCTTCGGGAGGGCCATGCGGAGAGGCTGGCCTCCTGCTTTGGACCCCTGCCTCCTGCACAGGACTGTGCTGCCTTGTGTCTTGAGAGCTGCCCAAACCACTGGCCTCCACACAGCCGCTCCCAGCACTCTGAACCGAGGGAGCAGAAGCAGCCCCTTTCCTCCCACTCCTACTACATGGCTGGTCCTGGACTCAGAACACTTGTCTTCTACACATCCTCTCCCTCCAAGGCCAGCAGGTCTTAATACCCTGTTAAGACGTAGAAAACAGTATCCAGGCCTCCCAGATGTGAGGAGAGGGGTTAGCTCAAGGGAGCTCTGAGGGAAGGGCAAAGAGGTCCTTGGCAAAGTCATACGAAGGTGGTCCTGAGGCTACAGTCAAATGATTTCCTCTATTAAATAAAAATAAGCCATGGTGAAGAGCACAGAAGAGGAAAAACGAAAAGGTAAAGCCAGGCTCATCCTCCTAGTTCTCTCCCTTCCTGTGTCCCTGCCTTGCTCCCGGGTAGACCTCTGTATGCTTCCAGATTTCTTTATACACATTTACAAGTATATATATATTTGTTATATAAGCTTCCCCCCACAACTTGACAATCATACTAGCCTTACTTACTTTATTCAAATTTTATACATTTTAAAGATCTTTCTATATGGACACAAATGGCCTTCATTCTTGTTAGAGGACTTTTAGCAGGAAGTCGTCCACCATCTCTCTTCCCCTAATTCCCTAACCCTTTAATGTACTGGGGAGAACTTAAACTGGGCCAAGTACTCACACAGTGACACCCCCACCCCTGGCAAGGCCCCTCAGGTGGCAAGTCCACTCCTCAGTCCCAGGCTGGGTGCTTCCAGACGGAGGCCGGCAGACAGGGAGGCACAGGGAACATCCTGCGGGGCTGACTGACTGCGGGTGCTGGCTGGGCTGGGGGATTGCAAACGTCCATGTTGGACCTGAGCAGTTTCAGGCTTTCCAGCTCCAAGCAGGGAGGCTGAGAACTGGCTGTCAGCCTTGGGAGCAGTTGGGGGGAAGGAGGAGGGAGAGGCACTTGAGGCTGATGGTGGAGAGAGAAGGGGAGAAGTGAAAGGAGGGTGTGATGGGAGGTGAGGGGCTGTGGTGGGCGAGAGGGAGAGGAAGGTGGCCATGGGTAAAGGGGATGCTCTGAGACCACTCAACTGTCTGGGTCTGACCCTCTGGGGTGTGTGAGTGCAGGGTGGGGTGGGGTGGTATCTTGTGCGGTGCTGTGTGGGACTCCCAGCTGGCTGCCCGAGTCTGTCTGCAGCCCCGCCATTCCTGCCCTGGGACTCAGACCAGGAGAGCCCCAGGCTTTAGGTCAGCCAACCGAGGCCCAGCGTTGCTGGCAGGGGTCTTCAGGGGTTTCTGTGGATACTTTGAGACATTTTTAACAATAAACATCCTCTGTTTTGACACTGGTAACTTCACTTTGTTAGAAACCAGAGGCAGTCATCTTGTCAGGCCCCATCCGCCATAATCCACATGATTTTAAAATTCAACATCGTTTACATATAAACATTTGGTGACAGTTTCTCTGTGAATCTGACAAGTTAATCTGCTAAGAATTCACACTGACAAATAGGGTTTGATTACACCAGCCGTTGCTGATGTAATTCTGATAGGGGTGGACCTCAGGATGGCAGTGGGTTCCTGTAGGCTGTTTAGGGTGAAGTGGGGGTGGGGGGTGGGGAGACTAGTATGACCAAAGCCAAAATGTGTCTCTGCTAAGAACGAAACAGCTCTGAGGCTGGGTGGGGCCGCAGCAGTATCTGTCCCATACTTCCCAACAAGGCCTTCTGCACGCCTGCCTACCTCGCCCAGAAGGTGCCCCTCTAGGAAGCTGCCTGGGAGCAGAGCTCAGGTTCCCGTTTGACTTAGCCTGGACTCCTTTTTACCCTTGAATGTTCCAAATCTGGTACTAAGGGACAGTAGGTGCAAGCCCTGTGGCAGGACCTGTCTGAAGAAGAGCAGTGTGGACTCATTATCAACCCCTGGTACAGAGGCCGAGGCAGGAGTGAAGGCTGCACTAACGTGGGTGGGAGGAGCAGTAGGAAAGAAGTCAGCCCCCAGACCAGCCTGGAAGCCACGGTTAAGAAAATGAGCAGAGGTGGGTGACGACTAAAAGACGATGACAAGAGACTACATATACAAATGGTGAGAATTATCAGCTCTGCAGATGACACTGAGCTATTCCTTCCAAAAGAAATGTCAGATTCCCGGGAGTCAGGAGCAGAAAAACCTGAGTTTCACTGACTCCAAGGGGCTGTACAAGAAGTTCCGGGTTGAGTGAGGAGCTCAAGCTCTCGCCCCCAACTCCAGCCAGCCTGCGAAGCACTGCAGCTTACCGCCGTAGGGAGAGAAGAAAAAACCCACTACTCACTGGGGAAGCACCTCCACCCACGCCTGGCATAGGGCAGACATCAGGGATGAACTAAGAGGATGAGCATGGCCCAGAGCAGGGACCACTGGGGACTGTCCTCGCAGAGCAGAGGGCTGGGCTCAGGAGACTGTGGCCAGAATAAGCTACACTGAATCATAGAGACATTCTTGCTGTCAGAGAACTCACTGAGGACCCAAGAAAGGAAATGGATGCACGCCGAGTGGGAAAGCTCACTGCCTGGGGCTGGCTTCCTGGGCTAGGCCCATTTCTGCTTGGCCCACCTGACATCTCCTAGGGGTGGGGGAACCACGACAGGAGGGTCTGACTGCCAGGAGGGCAGGGAACTAAGCTTGCCTCAGCACTGACCCCCCATTTTTTCAAACTCTCCTACAGCCAAGGATGGCAGGACAAGGTAAAGCCGGGGATGGGTGATCTTGAGGCAGAGGCAAAGCTGTACCTTTGTTGGTGGGCATGAAGTCCTTCGCCTTGTCTTTGCAGTAGTGAAGGCAGCAGGAGAGGATCAGGTCATCGTTGTTACCCTGGAGGAAGACAGTGTGAGGAGTGCTACTGGGCAGGAGGGGGCGCTAGGCAGAGAAGGCACAGATATACTCTGCCTCTGGGGTGCTGGGGAGGGTCACCTCCCAGAGCCCCTCCCATCCATGCCCTGGTGGGTCCAACTGTGCCAACAGTGATCTATAAGACACGAATTCCCATTCCTGGGCCTCGACGGTGGCTGCCCCTCAGCTGCCCAGGTTGACTGACCTTCCTTTAGTCCCCTGCTCCTGGGGACCCTGATCTGAAGGCTGGCTATCTCCCTTTCTGCCAGGGGTCTTACCAGCTGGCCAGTGATGTCCTCACTGCGGAAGGCGATGGATTCGAGTTCGTTGCCACGGCTGGTTAGGGCCCGCAGGCAAGAGTCCCGACTCTCAAATCGCCGCTCAAGGAACTCGATGGACTTCCGGGCCTTTTCCTGCACCACACGGGCATAGCCCCCAGCCCGGTGATCTGTCTCCTGACCCTTGGCCAGGCCATCCAGCTCATTGATCACTGAGGAGATACAGTTCCACAAGGCATCTGCCTCAGCAATCAGCAATTATGTCTATCTTTACCCTAGGCCTCGCTTTCCCAGCCAGCCCCTCCCAGACCACAGAATCCATCCTGCCCCACAGGAGTCTTCCAGGGAAAGTAGAGGACCTTGGGGGGCAAGAAGCATCCCAGACTTTCCACAGTGCTCTCTCTTCTTTCTGCCTCTTCCTCCAGGCCCTGAGCTTCTCCTGGGAGGAACTGACAGGGATTTTCTGGAGCTGCTGAATTCAGAGGAAGAAACCTGGCCCCTCTATTGCATTCCTTAGTTATAGGATCAAACTGAAAGGATCCCTCAGGAGAGGTAAGGGTATGGAGCAGCTTAAAGGGAAAGAGGCACTCTCCCTCATCCACTTGGGCCCCCAACCACAGCAGTTCAAGAGGGGGCAAAGTTCTGTGCCCCATGCCCCAGCAGAGGGCAGGGAGGTTACCAAGTGGAACTCCGTAGTCATGGCCCCACTTGCAAGAGCCCTGGTATTCCCCCAAACCATGCCCTTGGCACATTCACCTCCTCTGATGCTGCACGTGTGTGTGCGTGTGTGTGTGTGTGTGTGTGTGTGCGCGCGTGTGCCTGTCTGCCTGCCTGCCTATGTGTCTGGGACACGGCTTCATTTTCTGGTGAAGATTCTTTCCAAAATTCCAGCCAAAAGCCTGAGGTCAAGTGGGAAATATGCACTCCTTGGGGGCTCTGGGAGAGTTTGGGGTCTGAGGCCTCTCCTCGGTGCAATGATTCATGGCTTGGGGAATCAGCATGAGCATGCTGTTCCATGGTGAGCCTGGCACTCACTGTCTGGGTATTCAGAGACACTTTCTGGAAAAGGCCCATGTGGGAACACACACACACACACGATGCCCATGCTTTCAGCAACCTGAGGCTACAGTGTCCACATAATGTATGGCTGAGGTTGGGGAATAGTGGTGGATGGGTATACGGTACAGCAAACAGAACATCAAACACAAAAAACTGGTATTCCATCCCAAAATCTGCTTTCCTGCTTCCAAACTAAACAGGCTTCAAAGGGGAAGCTTGTTTGTGCTTCTGCACCAGGCGGGGCTTCTCGATGCTGGGGTCAGGCCTAAGGAGCACGGAGCAGGTTAAAGAGCACAAGAAACAAGCAGGGAAGGCTGTTGGCTTAACCCTTTGTGCTCTGGACATGGGGCAGGAGTCTACTGAGGGAGCCTCATTAAACAGGAGCGCCCTATACAGCCCCTGAGAGTCCAAGGTTCAAAGAGGCTGGTCTGGACTGTTTTAACAGAGTTGTCATTTCCCAACGCCCCTGGGGGCCATCTATTTATTCAGCCTGTATCCTCTGGGTTTTCGCATATATTTGCTCCCTATCCACCAAATCTGGCTTTCTCCACGGAACCATAAGCTTCTCCAAACCAAGGGCTGTAGCCCTGCCATTCACTGGAGGACCAGAGAATAAGGAGACCATGTACATAATAGGGGCCCAATCCATGCTGGTGAACTAAAACCCTGCAGCCTGGGATGGTGCCTGAGGCTCCTTTTAAGTCTGAGGCTCCTGAGGTGCCACCTCTCTCAGTCACACCATTTCCTGACCATCTAGCAAAAAAGGTGCCCAACTCACTTTCTTCCCCCTGAACATCTGGAGGAAAGCACAGAGATGCATTATCCTGAAAGCTTTCCCACCCAGGACCCAGCGAGGGAAGAGGGGAGTTGGAACAACAGGATGGTCTTGTTGCTCTGCCTGCTGAAGAACAGAAATCCTTTCCTTAGGTCTAAGAGCCTGGGTTTAAGAGGTTCTGGCCAGGCCACATGGGGAGGGGGAAGGAAGACAGGGAGGGTGGAGGCGGGACGAGGGCTGCTTCAGTGCCAACATTCTCAGGTGGCGCTAACGTGTTTCCCACAACCCCCCAGGGTTCTATAGCCTCTGCAGGGGCGGATGTTTCCTGCCCTTTGTTTCCACCCTCATCTGGCACTAAGACACTTGGGACTGGGAGGGAAGGCCCAATGGAACATCTTGGCATGGATGTCAGAGGTGGCTTGGCAGGCTGACTGCCAGTCTGGTGGCTTTTCCAGAGGACAGGGATCCCAAACTTGCTCCAAGTGGCTGCTGAGAAGGGGACATTAAAAACCCTGGGCTTCCCAATCCTCTCTCAGACCCTCTTCCTCCACAGCAGAGCCCTCAGCTACATTAGCTGTATCAGTTAGATTAGACAGGAGCCCAGAGCCCAAAGCCCATCCTGGGCCTGACCTACCACAGAGCTCCAAGAACTAAGGGTGCCTAGACAGTCTCCTGGAGACAGCCCAGCTGGGCTCATCTGGCCTGAGGATGGAAGCGAGCTAGCTGGGTTCTGAGATGCTGACCCTGCACCAGCACCAATGACCAGACAGTGGTAAGGGCCCAAGTGGCAGGAATCCACAGGCATGAGCCAAGGGCTTGCTCTGGAGGGTTTCTGTCGGCCTGGCCTTAGGGTGACATTGGCCAGAAGAATGCTACCTCGAACCAACAGAATGATCATGAAAAGCTACAAGACAATCAGACCAAAGGCATCTAACCACTTCAAAATCCTCCCAGCCTCCCTGCCAGACCACCCAGCAGCACTGCCGTTATCTGCCAGGGCTGAGTGTTTACCAATAACGGGAACCAGCTTTGCTGTTTTACTGCAAGCTTTATAAGGATAAAAACAAGGGCTGGGCTCATGCAGCCTCTGGTTGCTGGGACACAGGAGTACATTTGCTCAAGCAGTTTAAGCCATGGATCAGCCATAATAATTTGAACTGCTTTGATTATTAAACAATTTTCCTTGCCCCACACATTCCCTACTTCTCTGCAAATCCTGTCTTACACACACAGCAGGGCTCTGCCTGCCTGGCCCCTGGGCGGGGGACATGTGTGTAGAGGGGGCTGCTGTGCACGTGCAGGGCTGCTCTAGCCTGACTCACCGATGAGGGGCACCACCAGGATGTACTTCCTGCTCTCCAGAAGCCGTGCCAGACTGGCCAGGTGGTCAATGAAGCCGTTGGTGTCTGGTACGAGGAACAAGGGTCTGATCTCGAGCTCCATCTGCCTCATCTGACTGTGGTCCTCCAGGACTGCCTACAGGGACACAGAATGGTGAGTGAGCCAAAGAGTGAGCAGGCAGGAGGGTGGGTGAGCCAGGCACTGACTCCACAGTGTGTCAGCATCCTGCCCCCTGAACCTCTTTCCCCTCCAGAAGAACAGCTAGCCCCTGTCAGGCCTGAGGGACAGGCCCACGGGCTGGGCAAAACACTGCAATAAAAATGGACATAGACCAAATGGCCCAGGGAATGGGCGTGACTGAAACCCTGCCTAGGACTGAGAAAGGACCTGATGGTATTCAAAATAACAGGCCTCTGAAAGTAAGACCTTGTGCTAAAAATCTTTAAGGGCGTGTCTGGTTCTTTCTCAATTCAGACACTTTATATATGTACATATAGATCCCAAACAATTTGTATTTCAATTTACTTCACCACGTGTGGTTAAAAAAAAAAGTTAAACTCCAAGACTACACAAAAAAAGTGATGCTGACAACTAGTAATTAATCTCAAAGTCTCCCACAGCAGCAGGAGTCCACACGGGTGACAGATTAGGGCCTGATCCGTATGTTTGCACAGAGGAAAACTCAGATTGATCAGAATCGCCAACTCCCACCCCCCTGCCTCCCCAGCAGTGTCTCCTAAATATTAGTCTTTTGTGTTCTACTTGCACTCCTCTGCCATAACTCTGTACAACCTACACTATTACTTACCTGATGTTTTTCTTTAAATTGACTTTAAGTCAACTCATTTTTTGCTTAGCCTCTTTTTTAAAAAAAACCCCACTGTATTTTATTGATTTTGTTTTTTAATATTTTTATTGATTTCAGAGAGGGAGGGAGAGGGACAGAGCAATAGAAACATCAATGATGAAAGAGAATCATTGACTGACTGCCTCCTGCACACCTCACACTGGAGAGCGAGCCTGCAACCCGGACATGTGCCCCGACTGGGAATAGAACTGTGACCTCCTGGTTTACAGGTTGACACCAAACCACTGAGCCACGCCAGCAAGAGTATTTTATTGATTTTAGAGAGGGAGAAATATCGATTTCTTGTTCCACTTATTTATGCATTCATCAGTTGCTTCTTGTACGTGCCCTCATCAGGGATTGAACCTGCAACCTTGGCGTACTGGGACAACACTCTAACCAACTGAGCTACCCGGCCAGGGCGCTTAGCCTTTTCTTAAGCAATGACATCCATGGTACCAAGGGTGTGACAGCCAAGTCACATGTTTACTAGTGCAAGCTAAATTTCCATAACGGGAAGTCAAAGTGTCCCTTATGCATCATCACTGAAAAACCATCTCGTGTAGCACCTGTGGCCTGAGCACCACACCTTGGAAAGCACACGCCTCGTGCTTGTTAGTCTTATGGCTGTTCACATCTTTCAGGGAAGCTCCATGCACATCTGGAAAAAGCCAATTTTCTCCTGTCTGATAGAGCTTTATGTGTGGCAGTGGCTGTGGGTATGCCTGTCACTACAGAGCAAGGTCACTATTGTGTGGCTTCCTCTTCTGGGGGCCATGGCCAAGAACCAAACTGATTTGCTGGCATCTGCCCAGATGGCCTGCTCCCAGTGTACAGAGCTGGAGGGCACTCACACAAACCTGGCGAGGGCCTGGAGAGCAGGTCCCAGCCCCGTTACGCCCTCTCATGGCCTTCTACCACACACCAGCTCACAGGGCCACAGGCACAGGCTGGGGAGTAGATGTGCGTGCCAAGTGAGATGGGGCCCACAGTGCTGAGACCTGGCCACTAACAGTCAGTGAGGAAGGTGCTCAGGTTTCACTGGCAATGACAGTAAAACTGAAAGGGCATGCCTTTGAATGCTGGGGGTGGCTTCTCTGTGACCTGCTGGGGACCTCTCCCTATGAGTAAGTTGTTGCTGCCACTGCCACCACAGCTGGTGGAAGGCACAAGCCACAGAACACTGGCAGGCATGAGAAATTCGGCTGAGGCCCAGTCTGCTGGGACTACTGCTCTCACCTCATTCAGGGAAAGTGCCACTGCTACTGGCCACCTTCCCAGGGGACTTGGGTCATTCTCTCTCCCCATGGGGCTGCCAACTTAAGGGTGACATTCTGCCAAACTTGGCCTGGGCATTTTCAAATATTTCACTTTTTATTGATGTAATTGACATATAACGTGTAACGGCTTGGGTATTCTGTAAGAACAGCACATGGTCTCCCTCAGGTGCAGCTGACAACCCTCCACTATTTCTCCTTACACTGTAGGAGCATCAGCATCCCTGGTCCTCAGTGTCCCAGCTCCTGGAGTTCTCTACTCAGCTTTCCCACTGCCTGGAACGTTTTTCTCAGTATCATAGGCCCTGAAATATCTTTCTGGGTGAGAGGGACAGAATAAGCACTGACACTGGTGAGGAAGGAACAGGGGCACTGGCATCTGTGGTGACAGGGCCTCAGGGCCCTAACTGAGCAGGGCATCTATGCCACTGCCCCACTGACTCCTTTCACATCTCAGTTTTTCTGTCTCCAGAAATGACACTCCAGCCTGGTTTGCCTCTAAGGAAGTGGAACTAGCTGTCAGTTTTGACCCTGTGTGAATGAGCTCCTAAGACCTTATTCCATCAGACCTTTAGAGCTGGCAATAGGCAGAAGGGCCTTTAGGCCAGTTGGCCAAGGGACTAGCTGGGGGCTAGCTGAGCTACTTGTGTGTTCTGATGACAGGACAGAAGCAAAATCTAGGAGCAGGGTCAAGGGAAGCAGTCTGAGTTCTCCGAGCTCTGGCTCCGGGCCAGAAAGGTGAACAGAGGCCATAGCCTCTTAGGGAAGTGGCAGCCTTGTTGGTTCCCCAGGGGTGGGGTGGGGTCAAGCTGTATGAGGGTGGTCAGAGTTGTGCTGCCATCATCCGGTCCCAGGGACACCCGCAGACAACTTCCCTTAACCTGGCTCTGCCCAGTGAGTCACCACACAACTGCTTCCTGTTCCCCACATGCCCTCATGGAGTGAAGGAGATAAAATGAAGCTGATCTCTCTCCTCCTGGGGTACCAGAGGGCCTTTGACGGGGGGGGAGGGGGTGGGCGGTTCATACCTGGGTCATGAGACTGACCCAGTCCCCTCCAAAGAAGAGCAGACTAAGAAAGGATCGGGAGTCTGCAAGTCCTTTCTGTGGGTGTCTGTGTTTCCGGCCCTCTCTGAGTGGCGCTGTGTGTGTGTGTGTGTGTGTGTGTGTGTGTGTGTGTGTGTTTAGCATTTGCCCTCCCAACTTTTCCAGATTTTACCCGTCAGATTCCTGGCAGCTGTGCACGGCGCCTGTGCCGGCCGTCACGTCCCATTCCAATCTCTGGGTCGCACGGTGAGAGAAGGACACAGGATGCGCAGGGAGTGAAAAAGTGATGTCGGTGGGGAGAGTGCCAAGTCCCCACTCACAGCCATGGGACGCTTGGGGAGAAGGGGAAGCATGCTGCTGTGGAGTTCAGAGGCCGGTAGTGAGATTTATTTTTGTTTGTATGAGTAAAAAGCTGCAGAAGCCTCTGGTACGGGGTGAGGGGGGCGCAACTGGAATGCTGTGATTCAGACAGACTGGCCCTGGCCTGGAATCCAGTGTGCTGACCCGGAAGGAGAGCTGCACAGGAGCTGAGATGAGACTGGCTACAGTGGTCCTAGGACTATGAACTGAGAAGTAGGGGAAAGCTTTAACACTTTGAATCAGACCAGTGGCAATAAGGACTAAGTGGTCATAAAGTGTGAAAGAGAAAAAACTTAATTCTGTTTCTGGGAGGTGCTAAGTAACAGCTTTCTCTGAAGTAATGGAGTGTCCTTCAGCAAGCTGGTGGGGAACTTGGAGAGAGAGAATCCACAATAACATCCAATGAGGAAGCTAACAGCTGCGGGTTTCCAGGAGCGGCTCTTTTAGAGGCTAAATTCCTTTTTTTAAAAAATATATATATTTTTGATTTCAGAGAGGAAGGGAGAGCGAGAGATAGAAACATCAATGATGAGAAAGAATCATTGAACGGCTGTCTTCTGTACAACCCCTACTGGGGATTGAGCCTGCAATCTCAGTATGTGCCCTGACCAGAATCGAACCTGGGACCCTTCTGTCCACAGCTCTATCCACTGAGCCAAACTGACTAGGGCTAAATTCATTCTTCTAGACACTGGGATGGTTTGGGGATGCTAACCCCTTGAAAATTGAGACACTGAGAATTACAAACAAAGGTAATGCAATTAGTTCACACAGGAGTTCTGGGACGTGAAGACCGGATCATGAGAGGTCCTTAAGTTTTCCTTCTCCTTAGGACTCCACAGGGAGCGTGGCTGCTTCCTTTCTTCTACAGGGTGAGGGAATAATTTATTCCTGGGCCTCTCTGGGCGAGCAGAGCAGTGTCTTCACCAGAAACGAGTTTTGTTAACATAGCAAATTTCCACAGTCACCTTGTATGTGAAAGTATCTAGCAAAACGGCTGATACATGTATTAGCAGCTTAACAAAGCTCAGTTTCCTTTCTTCCTGCCCTGCTCCATTTTCCACCTTCTATATATCCAGGAGGTAAATATCTGGGGAAACCACTAGGGAGCAGAGCTGGAGGGGAAGGGGCCAGGCAGAGGGCTGTTCATTTCTATTATGAGACTCGTGGTAGTCTTGTTGTTGTTGGTTTTAACTACACGTAGGTACTTTTAAAAATGAAAAATGGAAATGAAATAAAAAAATAGGAGTTGGTGCCCTGACCAGTTTGGCTCAGTGGCTAGAGCGTCGGCCTGTGGACTGAAGAGTCCCAGGTTCGATTCTGGTCAAGGGCATGTACCTTGGTTGCAGGCACATCCCCAGTGGGGTGTGCAGGAGGCAGCTGATGGATGTTTCTCTCTCATGGATGTTTCTAACTCTCTATCCCTCTCCCTTCCTCTCTGTAAAAAATCAATAAAATATATTTTTAAAAAATAGGAGTTGGTAAGATAACCACCAACAGCACAGGAGGCAATTCCTTCTTGAGCTGCAGAAACCAAAGGGAGCAGATACTGTATTTGCTATAGAAAGCAGAGCCACCAGTCTCCCCGGGGAGCAGGACACTGAG